AACTCAAGGTAAGTTCATTAGGTCATTTTTTATAATAAAAAACTTATTTACAATAAATGATAACTTTACAGACTAAAGGCCGGTTCTGTCTTTACAGGCCAATTTGTTTTTTTTCAACATTCAACATCAAATAAAACCTTAGTATATCAATTTAATTCAACATTTTTTTTTAAATATAATATCAAGTGACCGAAACGAACAAGTCGTACGCTGAATGGTGAGCTACACGCCTGTCCATAACTGCGCCCGTCACCCAGAGACATAATTTGACAAGTTCCATGTGCCTGTAATTTCACCAACACTCTTACCCTTCAAAACCGGAATACAGTAATGCTGACATTACTGCTTGGCGGCAGAAATAGATAAAGTGGCAGTACTACCCGGGACGAACTATATCACAACGAGCTTTACTGCTACTAATCAAAATAAAACCGTATCATAGCTATTTCATTCAACATTGAACCTTAAAATAAAATCATTACAATAATAATAATAACGCACACATACAACATAGCCCCGCACTTGGGAAACCCTGTGTCGCGGGTACCATGGACACACACATAGACAACCACAAAGTACACCCAAATTCAAGAGAAACATAAATATAGGCCAAACAAAATAAAAAATCTCCCAGCCCGGGAATCAACCTCTACGTGGCATTCTGGCATGGTAACCGTTAATTAATTCAAATATCGCAATTTAAGCATCTTTCAATTACAACGTCTTAAGGTGCATTCACACGCTCCAATTAAAATTCCAATTAGCATTAATCTGTAGTCACGCGCCGTACGCACGCTATAGCAAATCGATTCTCAATAAATGCCGATATCTATGGCTACGCTTTTTAATCCTTCACCTTAAAATAATTACATATGTTAAACTATGTGATAATCACTTTACAATAATAATAATGTGGCAAACAACCACACCAATTACCTTGTCCCAAACCAGGAAGTTCCTGGTACTCACTATGAGTACAAGAGCAACGGAACTCACTAACCACTTAGGCTTAATTTATATTGCGGCAGAATGGAATGGAAGCTAATTTTTGTAACGATATTGTACATAGCATAACGAATTTTATGGTCAATTGTATAATATACAAACTAGATGCGACCCAAAATCTTCCGCTGAATGCATGAGCATTCTCTAGCATGCGATATACATAATATACATACGCCACAGCCGCACACGTGATATTTATGTAAATTGAGTTGACTATTTATTGTTTGTTTTGTTGTTGTTTATTTTCCTTTGTTACTTTATTATAGTTTTATTTTAGCTTTGTCTTTTTGTATTTTTTCTTTCTGTGTATTTTTGTGTTGTGGCGTTGTAATAAATGGTTTCCATTTTATTCTATTCTATCCACGACACCCAGTCCGGGAAAAATTTAGAATAGATAATTTCCCAAATTGCCTACCGGAAACCGAACTTATGTAAAAAATAATTTATTTAAAAAACCGACTTCCAAACTTTGCTTGTCCGGTTTCATTATATTTGTTACATCTATTTGCTAAGTTTAACTTAAATCGGTTAATTTGCTACCTTTAGAACTGGGATATTTTCTTCAAATTTGAATTAGACCATTTCTAATGTACCTCCTTTCCAACAAAAAAGAACCACCGAAATCGATTCACAACTATCGGAGTAATAGCGTAACATAGACACAAAAAAATATACAATGGTATTGAGAACCTCCTCCCTTTTTCAAGTAGGTTAAAAAGTAAGTCCGAGAAACGAAGCGAAGGTCGCTTCATTTATTTTAATTTATCGTAATCTTTTTAGTTTCACCGTTTTTTATTACACGCTCTAAATTCAGTACCTTTTGTGACATGTTTTGAATCTGTCATTGTTTTTCTTGTTAGTTATAATTAAAGTAACATTGTGAAACTTGTTCAATAAACTATGCAAGTACTTTTAGTTTGATCTGGCTCAGTTACCTTTAGTACCCGGTCTACATTCATGCAGTTCGCTATAGTGGTATTACGATCGCTTTTAAATTACGTCTTAGAATAAAAGTTTAATTTTACTTAAACCGAAATCTTTTAATAATTGTATTTTTATCATTATAATAAATAACTTTTAATTTTTCAAAATACCTCTTTGGAAAATGTAAACAATTTTTACTTAACAAAACTGAAAGGAATTAGATTTTTTAAATTCTATTTTTAAAGCTGGATGACATTTTTTTATAATGGCAAAAATGTCGTGTCCTGTTTATAAACGAAAAGTATTACATGTCTGCTTTAATGCAGTTATATAGAGAATTCCCTTTACTTATAAATACCAGAGGACAATGGAATTAACTTTTTTTTATAATACATAATGACGGGACGAACAAGTCATGCGCCTGATGGTAAGCGACACGCCTATTCATAACATAACGTTGCAACGCTACTCAGAGTTTTAAATTGCAAAGATCTTAGGGGTATTGCCACTACGCCCATCACCCTGATGCCTGCCGGTAATTTCACCAGCACCCTCACCCTTCCAAACTGGAAAGCAGTAATGTTCAAATTACTGCTTGGCGACAGGAATAGGTAAAGTGGCAGTACTTCCCTGGACGAACTCTTTCACATGGAGCTACTGCTACTGATAACTTCGGAGCAATACCCAAAACGCACATGAGCATTTTACAAAAATTTGTTTCACAAATTGGTCCTACAGAGAATTGAACACCAGACCGCCCACGATGTTAATCGCTGTGCCACCAAGGTCGCCAAATGCACATAAAGAAAAAAAAAGTATTTTTCTTTTTATAGCGCACAGGTCTGTGTGGAATGCTATTGAATTGTTAGAACAGGTTAGGCTAATGGTTTAAAATACCGCGCGCAAATACTTTTTTATGAGCCAGTAACAAAGTACAACGTGTCGTACAATAATTCGTTGTTTCGTACGTGCAGGAGTTATAATAAGGTTATCACTAAGGAAGATAATATATTCCACCAATTTTGAAAATCATTTATAGCGTGTATGAGACCTCACAACTAGGTTCAAGGTATGTTTTACTTATTTTTTGTAGATTTTTGAAGTTTCCCTTTTTTTGGTTTTTTTTATAAAAAATCATTTTTCTTTTTAAATATAATAGTTAACTAAATATATTTCATATCAATGTTGTACACAATTGTCATCTGTTCCAAGCTAAAAAGCGTTATACTATTAATTTTTTTTTAATTTTTATGGCAAATTCATCATTGGATACAGATACAGAAGAACCCAAATCTGGCATCTGAAGAAAGTAATCATAGTACCAACAGTTCTTTCAACCACAGGTGTTATTCCGAAATAGCTTCACCGGTTATTGCATTCCCTGTACCTACTATCAGACATATGTTTTATATTATTTATATTTAGTAGCAGCAGAGCTCCTTATGAAAGGAAGGAAGGAAGTAGTAAGTAAAGTAAGTAAGTAGTGGTAAGATGGCAGACAGAATGTGAGCATTACCGCATTCCGATTTAGAAAGGAAAGAAGAGTGCTGGTGACATTACAAGCACGTGAGTCTTGTCAACTTATGTATCAGGGTGACGGGCTCAGTGGCAATGCCCCTAAGATCTTTGTGATTTAAATCTCTGAGAGGCACTGCAACTGTTATGGATAGGCGTGTCGCTTACCACCAGGCGCATGACTTGTTCATCCCGTCACCTGGTATTATAAAAAAATATCACCTCTTAGAAAAAGCAGCCATCCTCAATATTTGTCGCCTTGTTAAAAAGTTCTTGCAGATTGATGTCATAATCCTATATTTCTCCACTAACAACCCCACATGATATGTACTTAGCTTTGCTTATTGATTAAACGGAGAACTCCGAGTAAAACACAATTTTATAATAAGAATAACAACATACACACTCATAGACCCGCACTAGGGAAACCCTGTATTGCGGGTGCCATGGACACACACATAGACAACTACAAATTGCACCCAATCTCACAAGAAACATAAATATAGGCCATACATATGTATATCTCTCCCGACCCGTGGTCACCGTTCGACCACACAGAGGCAGTTCAAAAAAGTAAGTGTATAATGACATCAATGAGTAGAATCATGAACATGAGTAACTCGCTTTCTCTTCTGAGATAAATTATTGTAATATTCAGCGAAATTGCTATAAAACTAAGTAACAGAGAAATCTGCAATAAACAACTTATAAACTTTAAAAATACATACTTTTTCTTTTAAATTACTGCTCAAAAACAACTGAAGTAAAAAACTTGTTTGTCAGTTTGTAACAATGCAAAGTGCGCAGGTGAAGATACCGAATGCTGGGCATAGGAAGGTGCTATTTTTTTTCTAATACCAAGTGACGGGGTGAACCAGTCGTGCGCCTGGTGGTAAGCGACATGCTTATCCTCAAAAGTTGCAGTGCCGGTCACTGCCACTGCACTCGTCACCCTGAGACATAAGTTGACAAACCCATGTGCCCGTAATTTCACCCTTACCCTTCGAAACCGGAAGGGGATTATTCGATATTCGAATTCGGGTGCAATTTTTATGCGTCTTATTTTAAAACGTTTTAGAAATAGCTATTTTATTTGACTGCATTTACTTCAACAGACATAGTGCGCTAGTATTGTCAATCAAGGTTCAAAGTAACTTATTAATAATAATATTAATCTTTATTAACTCTTTAGAAGGTTTTTATGCACTAGTTATAAAACTAACATGTGAACTTTTAACCAAAATCTTTGGTAAAAGACCAGAGTCGATACTAGGAATACAAATATAGCAGTATTTCTGTATTCCGGAAGCGGGAGCCTTTATTTTGTTATTTACCGAACTGTAGACGATAAAAAATAATCTGGCAAATTGGATTTCATCTCACGCGTAAATCACAGTACGGTGTTAAAAGCGAACGACTTCTAAACAGGTCAACTCGAAAGGGTTCCCACAACAAAAGGTTACGAACCACCTCAGGGTGTTAGATTGGCAATGATACCCGATTTACGCAGACAAACGTTTCGGTTTTACTTTTAGGTGAACGTGCGCGGGCGCCACACGCACAACTCTTCCGTCCGACCGCTCAGTGTAACCACGACACTTGACGAGAACTAACTTGGGACCTCGAACTCACGGAGCAGTGAATTGTGAACTTAAACGAACTTTATGAACTTTTTTGTGCTATTGTGCTTGTGGTTTTTTTATAATTTTTTATTTATACTGGTAAGTAATTTTGTTTTTTTTTAAGTAAGGAACGAACACGTTAAAACTTTGTGTTAAAACTTTCGTAAAACAAAACCACGGTTACTCTCTCCGCGACATTCAAAGAAAGCGGTTTAGATGCTCGTTACTGGTTGATAAATGAATTTTGCGCTATTTAAATGTGAGACCAATTTATAACAACTGATTAATGATGTATGCAAATGGGTGAGAATTAATGTACAGCACATAAGTAATTGTTTAACGATTTATTGTATTTATTGTAGTAACAAAATAGATTAGATTGAAAAATTTCGCCAGATATAAAATTTTACTACAGTGACCTAGATTTCAAAATTTCTTAATATTTAATACCTTTGCGGTCATTATCAGAAAAAAGGTATACGGTAAAAGCACCCGTCAAATTATATTAATGGCATTATTTTTCAAAAAGTTTTTTTCTTTGCCAATAAACCTTATGAAATATTATTAAAATTCATTATTCTGTACCAAAATTTGAAAACTGATTTTTCGATTTTATTTCTGTATATTTTATTGTTTTAAAATTTATATTTTTATTACAAATTTCAGTAAAAATAATTGAAACAATTAGGTTATTCAAATCAATTTCACATATACATTACGTCCACAATTATCAAGCGCCAATCCAACTAATGTTTAATTAAATCACTATAGGCAGGTCAGTAATATAATTAGAAAAAAATAAATAAAAAATGTTACCGATCGACATAGAATATTGTTGTTTGAACTTTCAATAGCACATAATTAATTAATAAAAAAAGAAGGCATTACGTTTTAGTGATTACGTATTAGAGCTGTTATATATTTCCTTTTTTTTTATTTTAAAATTTTGTATGTCAAATAAAATAAATTTAAATTGTACATTTGTAATATAGAAAAAAAAATAGAATGAATAAACTAAATGAGATAGAAAAAATAAAAAATATTTTTTTTAGTACTTTAAAAATAATTTTCCGTTAAAACATAATATGAATTAAATATCTATGTGGAAAACAAAGTAACGAAACTTTCGATCCGATATTTTTTAATTATTTATTAATAGAAATACATCAACTTCAGTGTCCCAGCGATTAGCACTGTAGGCACTAGGAGGTCCCGGGTTTGATATCCAGTAGGACCAATTTAAGAGACAAACTTTTTTAAAATCAGTTCTGGTCTTGGTATTCTGGGTAATGCTCATTAATTTCGTTGCTCTAGTATTCATAATAAAGTGAATTCCGTGGTTTATGACCAGATAATTGAAGTAGTTTATGTACAGTTTGTAATAATAATGCGTCAAAAAAAAAGTCAAAATTTTCTCTATCCAACTGAAAATCATTTTATCGGATAATGAATTTCACAATGTAAAGGAATTTCTTTCGAAGAAATTGGAATCTTACTTTTATTGAACGTGACGTTGTTATTTTTTGTATTTGTTTATTTTTTTAGTTATGTTTCTTATTTTTATAAACTATTATTGTTTTTAATAGTGACGATCATGTTATCCCTTGACATAATATTTTAATTTGTGTCATTGATAATATGAAAAAAAAAGTAAATCTTAAAAATTAAATTTGTTTTATGACACAATTAAAGGAGACAAGTATAGGTACAAATTTGATACCCTCACGGCGGTGGTAATAAATAAAGATATGTTTACTTGACTTAAAACATATGTTTCAATACAGTTACTTAAGTTTTACTTTCTATAGCAGAGAAGCGCGCGTAAATTTATATTTTCCCACCGATATAAGTCCAATTGAAAAGTTTACACAGAATTATTTTTTATTTTGGAATAAATTGTGAGCAGTTAAATTATATACAAAAACAAGTAAAATAAACAAAACAGACAGAATATTTGGTACATGACATTACATTGCTCTAAGTTAATTATTTTTATTTTACGACAAATTCCAAGTGTATTAATTAGACATTAAAAAAATCATAAGACTGAGTATTTTCGAGTTTCTGCCGTTAAATTTTGTTTCGATTATACATAAACCCGACGTTTTCGTAATTAGGCCAATCAACAGTTTTTAACGACACTGGTAAATGTATAAAAAATGGCGTTTGATAAATCTAATCACGTACGTTGCTCTGATCCCAAAGTAAGTAACTAAAGCTATGTGTTATGGAAATCGGAAACAACGACCATCCATCCAAACCCGAGACAACAATTAAAATGGTTTGCTACATTGACACGGCATAGGATCGAATACGGGACCTCAGAGATGGCAACACCATGAAAGCCGGTGTACAAGCCACTCGACCTCGAGGGTCATCCGTTATATGACATCTAGCCATCATATACTTTTATATATTTAGATGTGACCTTACGGTTGCGAAATATTTTTGAAAATATTCATGAAATTTGCCTGTCCCTGTTACCAGAACTTTTATGATCTTGTCGTTTTTCACGACCTTTTGATATTTTTTGTTATTCTTGGCTCTTTCATGCATAATCAAATAATTCCTGGTAAGATTGAATACTTTTTTCCAAGACTCCTATTTATTATTTGGAGAATCACGCAATTTCAGTAGCAGTAGAACTGCCACATTACCTACTTCTGCCGCCAAGCAATAATGTGAGCTTTACTGCATTTCGGTTCTGAAGGGAAACAGGTAATGTTGAAATTACAGGCACATATAAGAAGTCCTATGGTTAGGTTAGATTTAACTTAGGTTTTTTTTCTTTTTTTTTTATTATACCAAGTGATGAGACGAACTCACGTCGTGCGCCCGCAGACGAGCTACACGCCTGGCCATAACAATTGCAGTGTCACTCAGAGCTTTAAACCGCAAATACCTAATAAATTCTAAAATACTAAATAAATTCTGCACCCGGCAATTAAAAGATTTTTTTATTTAATAAAAAAAATATTAGCTAATTTCAAAAGTTTATTGAAAAATATAGGGTCATATCGAGTTCTTAGGTTTTCGCGATTGTTACACATAGGAAATGAAACTATTTTTCCGGATTTAAATCGCGTATATTTGTTTTTTCAAACAAACCGACGTTTCGGGCCCTTTACAGGTCCCATGGTCACGGTTGACTGAGGTGGTACAGTCTTCAACCAGTTATGTCTAATATTGATGCAAACCACCCTATTTTTTCACTATAGTTACAATAGTTATTAATTAAATACCTTATTTTTAATTTTACAAAGAAAACATTCCAATTTACGCTATATTATACATACATTATGCTATACATGGGACCTGTAAAAGGCCCGAAACGTCGGTTTGTTTGGAAAAACAAATATACGCGATTTAAATCCGGAAAAATAGTTTCATTTCCTATAATTAAATGTTAGTTCTTATGGAATTAAATCCGACTGAACGTTTTAAGCAAAGCGCAAGTTGTAAAAGATGATGAGATGAGACTTGTGAAAATTATTTATATTATAAACAAATTAACGTAAATGTTTTGCTATATAATCGATAAACGGAACTTCATTAAATTGAACTTTTTGATAAGGCACCAAAAACAGAATTACTTGAAATAATTATATGACAATATATGATCATACCTTTATTTTGTAACTAAAAAAGGGTTTACAAATTCTATTCTGACGTTAATTGCCCGATATTGTGAGGCCTGGAAACCTAAAATACAAATCATTGATTTAGTTTAGGCTCCAGCTTTCCAGAAATGTAATTTGTTTTGAAATTGTCACCTTAGATTTAATATCTCTTTTTAAGTAATATTTGTGGAAGGAGAAATAAACGATTTTTATTTTTTTTATTTTTTTTATTGTGATTAAAGAGTAAAAAAGAGATTTCGACCAAAAACATGGTTACGAGGTTTTTAAATTTTGCCGACGATTCGTATTTGCGGAAATAAATAAATTGTTGTTATTATTTTGGATATCCTTTTAAAACTATTGCCTCTCCCAAGGCCTAAAAGATTAATTTTTAATTGACAGAGTGGTCAGTCGGCTGTTACAGGGACTATTACCACTATTACTTAATTTGTGGAAAACACAGAAAAATGCATTGTTTTCACAACAAGTGTATAGAAAAACGTCTCATGTTACACGGGCGTCAAGGTTATTGCATACTCGTGACGGCTAAAGCCTCGCCTGCGGCGATGTCAACTCGTTTGCAATAACTTACTTTCCGCCCTAGTAAAACAATATTTATTTGCATATAGTAATACAATGCGATGACATAGCAATGACGTCATTTATTTCTTATATCACGTGTACTTTAGCACATCAAAAGCAATACGTCGTTATCACGATTCACAGCCTGATTTCACCGCTCTGACCTCCTTATCATACATAGCATACGTAATAGATTTTTTTTGCAAGATTGAGTTATTAACATACAAGGATCAGTGAAGCCTTATCTACAACACCCTGTAATCAGCATTTTAATATCTTGTATAGTATTTTTATGATATCAGGCGACGGGATGTACAAGTCGTTCAGCAGCAGTAGAGCTCGTTGCGAAAGAGTTCGTCCGGGAAGTACTGCCACCTTACCTGTTTCTGCCGCCAAGCAGTAATGTCAGCATTACTGTGTTCCCGTTTTGACGGGTAGGGGTGCTGATAAAATTACAGGCACATGGGACTTGTCAACTTACAAATTATATAAAAAATAAAGTGCACCTCGTATTAAGCGACACGCCTATTCATGACAGTTACAGTGCCATTCAGAGTTTTAAATCGCAATACATCTGAGGGGCACTGCCTCTGCGCTCAAGGCGGCAGAAATAGGTAGAGTGGCAGTATTTCCCTGGTTGAACTTTTTCACAAGGAGATTTGCTGCCATCAAAATATCGAATGTACGAAGTAAATTACATGTATCTTTTTATAAAAAAATTACAAGTAACGGAAAAATCCTTGTTGCAGCTATTTCTTAAAATGGATTTTGAGATACAGTGTATTGGTTTGACACGGTAGAGCTGTTAGACACAGTGGGCATATAAGCAGGTGAAACATCTTTTAGTAAGTACCATCACCTTTCAAAATCGGTTCAAATGCTTACATTACGGTTTGA